GGGGAGATGGGGCACAGCCAGGGGGATGAAGGGCAGTGCCCCCTAGCGCCAGGCTTGGGAATCAGGGGACTGCCAGAGGGTGGGGAGATGAGGCATGTCTTGAGCGGGGGTGAAAGGCAGCTCCTCCTAGTGCGAGGCGGGGATACAGGGCATCACCAGAGGGAACGGCACCATGCTGGGGAGATGAGGTACGTCCAGGGGGATGAAGGAAAACTCCTCCTAGTGCCAGGCAGGGATATGGGGCATGGCCAGGGGGATGAAGGGCAGCTCCCACTAGCGCCAGGCGGGGAAGATTGGATGCGGCTTGGGGGATAAAGGGCAGTGCCCCTTAGTGCCAGGCAGGGGAGACGGTGTACTGAGAGGGGGAAGAAGGACAGAGCCCCCTATTGCCAGGCGGGGAATATGGGGCACAGCCAGGGGGATGAAGGGCAGCAGCCCCTAGTGCCATGCTGGGGAGGTGGGGCAGAGCTGGAGGATGAAGGGCAACGCCCCCTAGCGCCAAGTGGGGAGATGGGGCAGAGCCAGGGGGATGAAGGGCAGCGCCCCTTAGTGCCAGGTGGGGAGATGGGGCAGAGCCGCGGGAGTGAAGGGCATTGTCTCCTAGCGCCAGGTCGGGGAGACGGTGTACTGCCAGAGGGAAGAAGGACAGAGCCCCCTATACCCAGAGTGGGGAGATGGGGTATGGCCAGGGGGATGAAGGGCAGCCCCCCCAGGCCAGACGGCAGAGATGGGTCATCGCCAGGGGAAGTAGGACAGTGTCCATTAGTGCAAGGCTGGAGAGAAGGGGCACAGCGATGGGGATGAACATCAGCACCCCCTAGCGCCAGGCGGGGAGACGGGTATGGCGAGTGGGATGAAGTGTAGCGCCCTCTAGTGCCAGGCTGGTGAGATGGGGCACGGCCTGGGGGATGGAGAGCAGTGCCCCATAGCACCAAGCTGGTGAGAAGGGGCACAGCCAGGCATGAAGTACAGCGCCCCCTAGCACCAGGCTGGGGAGAAGGAGGAGAGCTGGGGGATGAAGGGCAGTGCCCCCTAGTCCCAGGCTGGTGCGATCGGGGACAACCGGGGGATGAAGTGTAGCGTCCCCTAGTGCCAGGCTGGGGAGATCGGGGACAACCGGGGGATGAAGTGTAGCGCCCCCGGGGCACAGCCAGGGGGATGAAGGGCAGTGCCCCCTAGTTCCAGGCTGGTGAGATGGGGCATGGCCTGGGGGATGAAGAGCAGTGCCCCATAGTGCCAAGCTGGGGAGAAGGGGCACAGCCAGGAGTGAAGTTCAGCGCCCCCTAGCGCCAGGTGGGGAGATGGGGCTTTGCCAGGGGATGAAGGGCAGTGCTCCCTAGAGACAGCCTGGGGAGAAGGAACATGGCTGGGGGGAGAAAGGGTAGTACCCCTTAGCGCTAGGCTGGGGAGATGGGGCATGGGCGGGGGATGAAGGGCAGCACCCCCTAGTGCCAGGCTGGGAAGATGGGACACAGTTGTATTTCAGTATATCTCCAATTGTATTTCAGATTCACAACCATCCACAGTGGTCCCAGCTTATCCGCCCAACCTGTCCCAGCAGCACTGGTGGGGATGGTGTCCAAGGGACCAGTCACCACATTCCTCTGTCTTCTCCTTGGTGCTTTCACAAGAGGTGAGAGAACTTCCGCCAATGTTCTCTGCAGATGATCATCTCCAAGTAGTGACAGGAGCCAGACACGGACCGACTCTCCCCTGCCACCCAGCCACCTGTTCCCCATTGCTCACAGCTCTCCCAAACAAAATCCTGCCAGGCTGAAGTTTTCCATGATGGGTGTCGCTCCAGAGGGCACAATTTTTGGGAAGTTTCATTCAAATCTGTCTGAGCTTTTCTGAGTTACAACCAGAGGATCCCAAGCCCCAAAAGTCATCAATGTTGGGTTTTTTTGCCCAGCTTTCACGCCAAAACACCTGTACCAATTTCCTTCAAACTTGGCTTGTTTTGGAGCTCTCACTGGCATCTAAACAAGCCAAACAGGATGAGAAATGGAATAAGGGGATTTAAAGTTACGGATATTTCCATCTCTATTTCCACCAATGATCCCATCAGAAATTTTGCATGTAAGTCAATTGAGAAAATCTGGGCCAATTTCTTTCAATCTTGGCTCACTTTGGAGTTCACGGGAAGATCTAAAGAACAGGCCAAGTTGGATGAAAATGGAACAAAGGATTTAAAGTCACATGGTGCTTCAGCATATTGTATCTTTCTGAGCCTGCGCAAGAAGGTGGGCCAGAGTGGGGGATTCTGGTGTGTGATTTCCTGGAATAATTAATTAATACTCAATTTTGACATGAAATCTTTAAAAATTGGAGGTTAATTAATTCCCTCCTGTGTTTCCTCTCCCAGGGGCCAGCACCCAGCAGGCTTTCACAGTGGAGCCAAATAACATCACAGTCCTGGAAGGGGCCGTGGCTATCTTGCAGTGCGTGGTGGACAATCCCTCAGGCGTGGTCCAGTGGGTGAAGGATGGGTTGCTGCTAGGACCAGACACAAACATCCCCAGCTTCCCCCGCTACAGTATGACGGGAGACCCCAGCAAAGGCGAGTGGGTTGGTCTGGCCTCCAGACAGCCAGATGGGGCTAAATGCATCTATCCCTCCCACCCCCACTTCAGCCATTGTGGCTGTGAACCAGCTCTGGGGACACCTGTGTGTATGAGAGCCCTGACTGGCCCAGTTCTAGGACTCCTGGGTTCTGTCCCTGGCTCTGGGAGGGGAGTAAGGTCTAGTCGCTAGAGCGGGGCTAGGAGCCAGGAGCAGAGCCAGCACAGAACCCAGGCATCCGGGCCGTATAGATTCACCATTCCCTCTGTGTCCTGCCCAGCAGGGGAGCACCACCTGCGGATCGTGGACAGCCGGCTGGCAGACGACGGGGACTATGAGTGCCAGGCGGGGCGCTCCAAGGAGAGCCCAGGCATCGTGTCGCACACGGCACTGCTCAGTGTGCTGGGTGAGCTGCCAGGCTGGGGGCGGGAGGGTAACCGTGGCTCTGGGGAGCTGGGGGAGGGGTGACTCTTCAGGGCCATTCCTCCTTTCCCCTCCCCCGCAGTGCCCCCCAAGACACCTGTCTTCAAGGAGTACGAGGCCAACAGCACCGTGACCTGGGTGGCCGGCGTGGAGTACATGGTGACCTGCAGCGCCGGGGACGCCAAGCCGGCTGCGGAGATTTCCTTCAGCAAGGGTGAGTGCCCCCCATGGGTCTGATTGGGGCGGGGGGGGCTGGGGTGGGGGGGCCGGGGGGGCGGGGGGGGGGGGGGGGGGACTGAGCTATTATATAAGGCCAGCACTCACCGTGTTGGACCATAATGTGAGAGGATCTTTCTTTTTCCATATACACCCCTCTATCTAATCCAGCCCCTCTCCCTGGTATCTGGGCACCTGTCCCCCAGGGCTCATGGCCATGGGGTGTCTCGCAGTGACCCCAGCCCATCCCCTGGTATCTGGGCATCTCTCCCCGGGGTGCGCGGTTGTGGGGGTGCCCTCAGCGATGCTGTAGTATATTGGCCTGGGTGGGAGTGCTGGGAACCCCCCTCCCCTCACGATCCCTCCCGCCCCCAGGTGGCAGCCCCCTCCCCGACGTGTCACACCAGGTGCACTCCGGGTCCAGCGAGAAGCTCTCCAGCACCATCGCCATGCTCAGGTGAGAGGGTCCAGGGGATGCCCCCCCCCCGTTGAAGCAGGGGGGCCCTGACTTAGCCCAGGGGATCGCCAGCCAGGTGCCCCCAGTGCCCCTTTGAGACACCAGCGCAGTGCCCCCTTTCCTCCCCAGCCTCCGCTAGGAGACCTGAGCCCTCTACAGCTCTGCCAGTGCCCCTCACTCCCGACCTGCAGCCCCTGCCAGCCCAGCCCTGGGCTTCTCCCTCCCCCCCAGCTCTGCTGGTGCCCCTCACTCCCAACCTTTAGCCCCTTGTAGGCGCTAGTTCAGGGTGGGCAAACTTTTTGGCCCGAGGACCACATTGGGGTTGTGAAACTGTATGGAGGGCCGGGTAGGGCAGGCTGTGCCTCCCCAAACAGCCTGGCTGCCGCCCCCTATCCGCCCCCTCCCACTTTCCGCCCCCTGACTGCCCCCCTCAGAACCCCCGACCCATCCAACCCCCCTGCTCCTTGTCCCCTGACCGGCCAGAGTGCTGGTGGCATGGCAAGCTGAGGCTCTGGGGGAGGGGAGACAGCAGGGGAGGGGGCCGTAGTTTGCCCACCTCTGCGTTAGTTGGTATAGCCCATTCCCCTTCTGTCCCCAGGGTCACCCCACAGAGCTTGGACAACGGGAAGCGTCTGGTCTGTGCAGCCACAAATGAGGCCGTCTCGGCCGCTGTGGTGGCTGGCTTCACCATGAACATCTTGTGTGAGTAACGCCCACCATGCCCTGGGCATCCCTCCAATCTCTGTGGGGACTCACTCCCAGCTGGGGACACCAATGAAAGGGTTAAAAAGATCCCCACAGCCATATTCTCCTGCATATACATCAACTCCACCTATCAGCTGACCCTCAATGGCTCCCCACTTAAAATATAAGCCTCACCCTCTTCTCTCCTGGGTGTCTCCCCTTCCATAGCCTGCACCCAGCTGTAGTGTTTGCCTCTGGCTCTTCCTATTTGCAGGCTTTCTGTTTACTACAATTAACTCATCAAGGAGACTGTATATAAATCGACCCCTCAGCCATTAACCCTTAGGAAAATGAGGAGTCAAAGATCAGGAGGTGACATTTATATAAGTCAACCCTCAATGGCTCACCCTTAAAACAATGAGGTCCTGGAGACTCCTCTTGGCTCATGTATATAAGTCGACCTCTCAAAGTTTAACCCTTCGGACAATGAGGCTACAAAGACCTGTGTATATAAGTTGGCCCTTCAATGTTTAACTGTTAGAACAATGGGGATTGGAAGACAAGGAACATCACTGAAGGAGGAAAGGAGGATGAGTTGGGTCTAGTATTTCAGTTGACCTCTCAACCATTAGTCTGTGGTGCCCTGAGGAGGTATCTCATTGGTAATCCCTAGAGCAATGATTTTCTGAAGAGCTGAGGTTGGCCCATGGATGTAATTTGAGCCCTCAGAACCAGCTGTGGAATCCCTTCACTCTATAAGCTGAGCCTTTCCGTGATCAGCTCTCAGGAGAATGAGGGGTCAGCTGTCGTGTATATAAACTGGACCCTCACCTCTTAACCCCTAGAACCCTGAGGAGTTGGGGGCCTGTGTCTCAGTCAACCCCTCCTCAGTTACTCCTTAAAGCAATGGCGAGTCAAAACTGAGGATGTGACCATCACCCCACCACCATTAACATCACTCCCTATATAAATCCACCCTCTTAACCATCAGCCCTTAGAAGATTGAGGTTCTGAAGGGGAAGAGCTGAACATATATAAGTCGACCCTTCAATAAGTAATGCTGAGAGTACCAAGGAGCTGTATTTTGAGTATATGTCAACCCCTCAACCGTTAACCCTATGAGTGCTAGAGATGAAATGGGTATATAAGGCCAAACCCTAACCATTAACCCATACCGCACCAAGGAGCCAGAGATGCTAGGAAGGTCTGTCTCTAGCTGGCTCGGGGAACATGGGATACATTGGTGTGGGGTTGGAGGGGGTGGGGAATTCTCCCTGCTCCAACCCTACTCTGGGGAAACCCAGAGGAATAGGGCTCTGCCCCCAGTTGGCGAAGGGGGTGGGGGAGATTATTTGATGGGGGGGGGGGTAATTCCACGTCTGCTTGTCTCCCAGCATGAGAGTCATTAGGCAGCTCGTTAATCAGCCTAATTACGCACCCAGCACCCCGGGCTGTTCCCCTCCCCAAGCACCCTGATGGGCGAGCAGCTGCAGAGGGCCCAAAGCCATGAAGGGGGCCCAGGAGTGGGGAGAGGACCGTGCATGTTTCACACATCCTTCCCATCCCTTTGTCTGTCTAGGTCCACCCCCTTCTCTGTCTCCCCACCACCACCTCCCTTCTGTTCCGATGCCCCGAGTCAGCTCCCTGCCCATACTGCCCCCCGCCCCCACAGCTACAAGATCTGTCTGCCCCCCGGAGCGGGGTGGGGGGCAGCATATTTCAGCTCTAATTGACTGGGGCCATCTATGCCCGCCTCCCCAGCCCCCTAGCTGGCCCCACTGACTCCCCACCCCGGTGGCAGGACATGGCACTGTTGTGCCACAAGGGGGTGCCCCTGAGCACAGGCTGCGCCAGGGTTCCCCCACAACCCATCCTTGTCTCTTCCCCCCCAGTCCCACCTCAGCCACCCACCATTGAAGGATACAAACGCCCCGAAATCAAAGCTGGAGAGACCCTGAAACTCATCTGCATCTCGCTGAGCGGGAACCCACTGGCCACGCTGCAATGGCTAAAAGTAACAAGGAGAACGGACAGCAGGGGCTGCGGGTCAGGAGTGAGGGGCACCTGGGGGAGGCCAGGGCGGGCTAGCAGGGGCTGCAGGTCGGGAGTGAGGAGCACTGGTAGAGCTGTGGGGGAAAGCCCAGGGCTGGGCTAGGAGGGGCTGTGGGTTGTGAGTGAGGGGCACCAGCAGAGCTAGTGGGGGCAGGGCTTGGCTACCAGAGGGCTGCCGGTCAGGAGTGAGGGACACTGGCAGAGCTGTGGGGGGGAGCCCAGGGCTGGGCTAGCAGGGGCTGCAGATCGGGAGTGAGGGGCACTGGCAGAGCTGGGGGTGGGGAGCCCAGGGCTGGGCTAGCAGGGGCTGCAGGTCGAGAGTGAGGGGCACGGGCAGAGCTGGGGGTGGGGAGCCCAGGGCTGGGCTAGCAGGGGGCTGCGGGTCAGGAGTGAAGGGCACAGGCAGAGCTGTGTGGGGGAGCCCAGGGCTGGGCTAGCAGGGGGCTATGGGTCAGGAGTGAGGGGCACCGGCAGAGCCGTGGGGGATGCTAGCCCGTGTTCCCGCAGAACGGGAACGTGGTTTCCACCAGCTGGGAGACGGAGGATGCCAGCGGCGCCTCCCGCAGCCTCCTGACCCTCAGCATCAAACCCGAGGACAACGGGGCTCAGCTGCGCTGCGAAGCCATGAACCAGGTGTCGCCCCTGCCCCTGGTGGCCAGCGTCACCCTGCGTGTGGTCTGTGAGTGCCCCACCCCCCCAGCATCCTGCGCCCCCCCAGTGCTCCCTGCTGGCCAGTGTCACCCTGCGTGTGGTCTGTGAGTGCCCCACCCCCACCCCCCCCAGCACCCTGCGCCCCCCAGCGCCTCTGGACTGCCTCCCGGCTTTAACCCACCAGCGCCCTGCTCCTGCCAGCGCTCCCTGCTGGCCAGCGTCACCCTGTGTGTGGTCTGTGAGTGCCCCTTCCACCCCTCCAGCACCCTGCGCCCCCCAGTGCCCCCTGCTGGCCAGCGTCACCCTGTGTGTGGTCTGTGACTGCCCCCCCACAGCGCCCCCTGCTGGATTAGGCTGGGTCAGGTTGGAGTAGCCGGGAGTAGGGAGCTCCTTCCAAACCAGCGCCCCCATGCCCCCTTGGCAGTGGCTGGGTCTGCAGTTCTGAGATCTCTCCCCCTCCCCAGTTCTCCCCACAGAGGTTTCCATCCTGGGCTCCAGCAGTACCCCGGAGAACAAGCAGATCTCGCTGTCCTGCTCCACCACTCCCAGCAACCCCCCGGTGCAGCTGCGCTGGTGGCTGGGCTGGCGGGAGCTCACCACCACCGAGGTCACCGTCACCAAGGTCAGTGCCCAGCTACGGCCCCCCAGAGCTGCCCCGCCTGCTGTCCCCACGGCCACCACAGCGGGAGACATTGAGCCAGGGGAAACTGGGAGGGGCTGGGAGCCAGGACTCCTGGGTTCTCTCCCTGAATCTTTTGTGAATTTCAATGAGCTCCTCCCATTATGGGTACTTCAGTTTCCCTCTCTGCATAACAATAGTGAATATCCCATTCCCTGCCCTCTAAGCGGCACCCTGGGACAGATCAGGGCCAGCGCCCCCTGGAGGGAACAGGCCCTGGGCCCCATTCCCTGCTCCCAAGCCCGCCAGGCCTCAGGAGCAGGGGCTGGGTGCCGGGTTCTCTCCCACAGGCAGCGCACGGCGGGACAGTGACCGTCTCCAACCTGACACACATGGCCCGGCGCGAAGAGAACGGGCTGCCCCTCACCTGCGAGGCCTTCAACGAGGTTGTGCTCTTCACCCGCAGCACCAGCCTGCCCCTCAGCGTGAAGTGTGAGCCCCCACCCAGGGCAGGGGGGTGCCAATGGGTGGTGGGGCTGGGCAGGTGGCGGGGGTGGGGGGGGGCGGGAGGAGGGCTGGAGGAAGGGGAGGGGGCAGGGAGTGATGAGGGGGCAGTGGGGGAGGAGGGATAGTGGGGTGGGGCTGGAGTGAGAGCAGAGGGGGCTGGGGGCAGAAGAAGTGGAGGACCGGAGGTGGGGAAACACCTCCTGTGGAGACTTAAGACCCCCTCAAGTCCCCACCTATGTGGAAGCCCCACCCACCAGCAGCCCCATCCCATATCACCCCAGCCTGGGGCGCATGGCCAGACCTACGGGTGGAGAGGGGCCCTGGGGAAGGGGGGTCTGCACCCCCTGTGATGCTGTTGGGGAGGGGGGGTGCTGAGACAGGTTGTCATGGCAATACAGGAGTTGATTGACATTAACCCTCTTTTTGTTCCCCATCCCCCTAGACCCACCCCAGAAGGTTTGGATTGAGGCCCCGCACCCTGACAGCCGATTCCGGGCTGGCACTAAGGTCAGGCTGACCTGCTTTGCCAGTGGGGGGAACCCGGCCCCCCGCCTCGTCTGGATCAAGGTCATGGGGGGGGCACCAGGCCATGGGGAGCTCAGCAGGGGGCGCTGTGCTGCGAGGAGCGGGGTGGGGGGCTCAGCAGGGGAGGCTGTGCTGCGGAGAGTGGGGCGGGGAGCTCAACGGGGGGGGCTGTGCTGCGAGGAGTGGGGCGGGGAGCTCAGCTGTAGCACCGTGCTGCGGGCAGTGGGGTGGGGGGCTCAGTGGGGGGCAGTCTCCCTTTGGAATGAAACCCACCCTAGCCCAGAGCCCTACCCATGGGGCGTTATATGTGGCTGTTTCCCAGCTGCCCTGCCCCAGAGGTGGCTGCATCTCTGGGTTGCTCACTGGGCTCTGGGCTCTCTCCCGACAGGACACCAAGTCCCTCAAGGAGGGGACCCAGGTGGCCTCCGGCAAGATCGTCTCCAAAGAGCTGATCCTGACCACTAGCCCCAGCGACAACCTGGCCATCTACCGCTGCAACGCCTCCAACGACGGCAAGAGCCCGGCGCTCACGGCCCAGACCCGCCTCCGCATCCAGTGTGCGTCCTCGGCCCTGGGGGGAGGAGGGGGAGAGGGGCGGTCTGTACACAAGGCGGAGTCAAGTAAACCCACCCCTTAAGGGCACAGCACCCGCGTTGGGTGGTGACAGCAACGCACCTAGGGTGACCAGACAGCAAGTGTGAAAAATCAGGACGGGGGGGAGGTAATAGGAGCCTATATAAGAAAAAGACCCCAAAATCAGGACTGTCCCTATAAAATCAGGACATCTGGTCACCCTACACCAGTCTCAGTTCTGCCCCTTTGCTCCCCCCCCCC